TATATATATATATAATTTAAATAATTAAAATCATTTATAATTTATTTGTTAATACATAAGATTATTCAAATATTTAAAAGATCTGTCTATATAGATATTATTTTAGAATTATTAGTTTGAGAGATTTTATTATAATAAAAAATTTATATTATATTTGTTTGAATTCAATTAAAAAATGGTATTGTAATGAATATAAAGATTAAATTTCATAAAAATATTATGATTATATGCTAAATGATATTGAATATAACAAAAAAGATAATGATCGATAAGGACATCTGAATAAAGATTAATTCTTTGATTTTTATAAAAAAAAATTTAATTCTGATTATTTTGTATAAATGTCAAATTATTTTATTTTATGAAAAACTTGTTTGAAAATATTTTAAAATATGAAACCACTTTGAAAATTTTTTATTTGAATTCCACTAAATAAGGTTTTGAAAAAAAGTTGTTATTAGAGATTATGACTTTTTTTTCTTCTCTAAATTGAAACTACTAAAAATACTAACAACCAAATTAATGTTTCAATATAAATATTAAACTATATTAGAAATTTGTTTTTAAATGTGTGAAATATATGTTGATTTATAGAATATTATAAATAATATTTGTAATTATTGTTATAATTATTTTTTAAAATTAATTTTTTAGATTAATTTGAGACTATGTTACAAAATAGTTATTAAATGAATTATCATTAAGTGAGATAATGAAATTTTTAACTATTAGATTTGATTAACAATTTTATTGTAAAAAAATAAAATAAAAAGTTTATCAATTATTCGAGAATAAAGTTTCAATAAATTTTTTGTTTTAGGTCTAAAATTTATTAGACAGGACTTCATTTAAACTATATATCTTTATTTAATTATGGGAATCAAATTTTTCACCACATTCCATTGTGTTAATCTAAGGTTAAAATATATGTTGTATAAGGCATGTATTTTAAGAATGAGTTAATAGTCTGTATTTTCACCCCTCATCTAATCATAAGTTGTTATATATAATAATTTTGTTGACTTTTTTAATAATTACTTTTAAAGTTATATATTTATCCTGATATTTCTTTAGTTGCAGTGTAAAATTTTATACACTAATATCACTGAAATTAACTCTTTAAGAATAACACACAATTACTAACCAGGATGACAGCTTTAACATTTTCATCAGTCAAAGGATGATCCAGGGGAATGCCCTTGTTTGGCTGTTGAAAGCCTAGAAGAACATCAACCAAATCCTTTTGATCACCTTCACACAATTTGCTGCTTCTCCTATTTTTGTGATCTTCAATGATGTGGTCCAATATCCCATCAATCTTCCTGAACAGTTTTTCAGATTTAGCCTTCACCACACTGAACATTTGAAGCCAAGTAATGGAAGGGTAGAGATCAGCAACACAAAGTCCTCCAGCAAGTAGCACTGCCTCTTCAATGATGCATATCAACTCTTGCTGGTGCATGTACTTTTCACCAAGAGCTGCTCTTGCTGTTATTCCATATGTGAGTGGGTAAATCTTCTCACTAAGGTTCACAACCAACCCTTCACTTGAAGATATAGTTCTAATGAATTGTGACACCTCCTCTTCCCTTATGGACCTAAAACTTTGCACACGCTTTGGGGCTAATAGCTCTTCTGTACACATCTTTCTTAGTTGCCTCCAATATGCTCCATGTGGAGAGAAGGCAATGTCTTTGGCATTGTATGCAACTTTGGCAACAATAATCTGTGGCCTGTTGGAAAAGGTGATATCATGTGTTTTCATAATCTCTTTGGCCATTTCTGGTGAAGAAATTACGATGTGTGATACCTCTCCTAGTTTTAGATGAAGTAAGGGTCCAAACTTAGTGGCCAAGTTTCTTAGAACATGGTGGGGTAGAGTTGAGCCAAAAAGTTGGTGCAAGTTTCCAATGAGAGGTAGCTTCCATGGCCCTGGGGGTAATTTGGTGGTGGAACTCTTGGATTTTGAACTTTTCGTTGTTTTATATAACACCAAGAGAAAGAGAAAGGTAAGGAAAACATGGAGAATTATGAAAAACTTGTCCATGGTAGGGTGAGGAGGAACTTAAGAGAAAGGCATAATATATGAAGTTATACATATGTTATAATAAATTAAAAAAAATTAAATATATTTTTAGTTTTTGAATTTTTGTTAATTTTTACAACAATTTTTTTTTTTACTAATGTTGATACCTATAAATATATTTAAAGCATATTTTTGTCCATTAACATAATTTACATAGTATTTAAAATTTGACACCTAAAAACTAATTTGTGTTTGTAAAATATAATTTTTCTGAATTAAATATTATTTTAATAACAAGAGTAATGAATTTTAAGGCACACAAAATTAATTTTATATCTCATAATAAACCTTACAACTATTGAAATAAAAGAATAGGATATATTTACATTGGATAAAAGAATTGAATATATTTAGTGCATATTGATAATTGTCGTGTAGTATTGAAATTGTATGATCTCTCTATTAATTAGCTGATGTGGATTGAAATTTGAATGGCAAAGATAATGTAACTGGAAATTATTCGAGGGTGATGTAATTGTCGCTGGCATGAGAATAATCCATATTTTGAAAAATTCTAATACTCAAGGAAATTGTTAATTGGTGTTCCTTGAAGTGAAAGGTTTAATTGCTGTTCATTTTAATCCATTATAATATAGCTATTTGTGACAACTAACTAGAAAAGTAAAGATAGTTCAATTTTTTGAAATTTGGTTATCATGTAATGATTCTATCGAATGTAACTTCAGGTTAAAAGAACTCAGTAGTACTTTTCATTTTGTTCTTTTGTGTGTGTTTAGAACATAACTTCATACAAATTATCCAAATCTCGTACTATTATACCAACCTTAATAGGGTTTTAGTAATAGTAAATAATAGCTTTTTTGTAGTTCCTTGTAAATAAAAATAATGAAGGGATATTATTTATTAGTCACTATTATTACCATGTGAAACTACATTTTTAACAAGTACCAAATTAAGCGATTTCAAGAAAGTGTTTTAATCTTTTTAAAAAAGAATAGTGGTTTAATCTACTTTTTTTTTTTCCTTATGCTATTAAAAAATACGCGTTTGTTACGAAAGGATTGTGGTTGATAGGCATAATATAATATTAATCTCTTTACCAATATTTATAGAAAATATTCGTATTTAGACCCATATTTGTGTAGTTATTAATATATATATATATATATATATATATATATATATATATTTATTGCTATATGTGTAAACATTGTGAAGTATGATGAGATGCTATTATTAGACTGTATTGTCAAGTTGTTAGAGGAGAGTTGTATATTGCTAAAAAGTTGCTATGTTGTTTAAAGTTGTTAAAGTTGAGATTGATGACTATAGTTGTTTATTGCTGTAAAGTTGTTAAGTTGCTTATTGCTGTAAAGTTGTTATGGTACCTATTGCTGTAAAGTTAAGTTGTTTATTGTTGTAAAATTGTTAAGTTGTTTATTACTGTAAAGTTGTTAAGATTCCTATTGCTATAAAGCTGTGTTGTTGAGTTGTAAGCTGATTAAGCTGTGATGATAAGTTGTTGATCACTAGGACTAGGGGAGATGTTTTCGAAGTTGTTCATCCCATTGTGTGGATTGAGATAGTTGTGGTACTCTGAGAGCCCAATTTGTTGAAAAACCCTCCTTGGAAAGTTGTCCCTTGGAGTGGTCGTTGTGTTGTTCTCCTCTAAGACTTAGTTGATCCCGTGTGTGGGCAAGGTCGAGGCACACGTGTATAAAGTGACCACGGTATAGGGGCAAGGTCGAGCTATACCAATTATAAATCGACCACGGTATAGGGGCAAGGTCGAGCTATACCAATTATAAAGCGACCACGGTATAGGGGCAAGGTCGAGTTATACTGATTACAAAGCGACCACGGTATAGGGGTCAGGTCGACCTATACCGATTACAAGTGGCCAATTTGAGTAAGGTACGAAGTCGGGAACTTAGTTCCTAACCGAGTACTATACTTCCTTGTTTAAGTGACAAAGTCTGAGAAACCATTATCGTGTTGTGGATTGATATCCAAATTTGTTATGTTGTCAGTTCAGTAGGACCCAGCCACTTAAACTACTTACCATGTTGTAGGAGATCTCCGAGACGAAATGCGTGACGACGCATAAGTTGTTGATGAGTTGATTCATTGTTGATATGAGTTGTATATTTGTTGTTATGTTATTAAGCTGTGATTGTGTTGTATGTTGACCTTGTTGAGGATGACGATAGTGTTGTTATGTTGTAAGTTGAAATGAATGATAAGATGTATAGTATATATATATGTTGTTTGTCTCAAGTGTCGAATGCGAAGATGATTATATAGCTATTATGTTGAATATTAAATTATTATGAGTTGTTTATTGTCTCTAGCTAGCTTATCCTTGCATGTCTCCATGTGGTTTGGACTGTGATGATCATACGTGGTATGGGAACAGGACAGGGATAGGCTGGGAGGTAGCTACTAGAGGCCACAGGAGGTTCCTGAAGATGGATATTATTTTTTATAGGCCACCTTATAGTAGCAGATTTTCTGTTATATAACTAGTTGTTTGTTGCTTGATTAACAACTTGTGTTGTAAATATTTATTATACTATTTTAGTATATTTTTGAGCCGTATGTAATGTTATTCTGTAGTGTGACGGCCACGGCGGGTCGTTACACAAACACACACACTGACACACACACACACACACACACACACACATATATATATATATA